TTCGTGATGATCTAAGCAACGTCCTGGCTTCGTCCTACTCGGCCGATGCGGAGTCTGATGTTGAGGAGGCGTCTGAAGAATCCTGCGAGGGCATCCGGGTTGACGCGTTCGACTCCTTTAATATGCCCTATGAGGATTATCTGACTGCTACAGAGCCACTTGCATCGGATAATTCCATGCCGTTACCCTTTTTCAAAACTTGCAAATTCAAAACTTTGACCCCCGAAATGCAGGAACTGCTAAAGGCAACTGTGTTACCCAGTGTTTTGTCAAACGCAGCGGCATATGGTATCCACCCATCTCTCCACAAGCAACTCACAAAGTTGCGCCGCAAGGCCGATTCCGGCAACCTGGTATGTAAGGATCGCAACCGCCTGCGGTATCTCTTCAACTGCCTGAACACTTACGTGGATATATTTTACGCGGGCTGCAAGATCAGTGATTTGCCGTCCGTCCGTTTTTTACTGGCTCTGCACACTGCTAATCACATTTGCAAGAGTGTGACTTCTGCGGTGGAGCAGTCCCACGGCTTTACCCGACCACGCGTTCTTTACATATGCGGGCTTAAGTGCATGGCACGAGAGTTCATCCAGCACCTCACAGCTCTACTGCCTGTCAAAAAAGGGGTAAGTTAACGTGGAGTTTCTGTATATGCGGTCGTAGGATCCCAAGCTAGAAAAGTTTCACGAAGAGTACGACCTGCCCGAGGAGGATGCGTCGGCGCAGCTCTCAAGTTTCCGAAAAACGCAGAAGTCTTTTGACTACATAGAGACGTTTTCAGGCAACCAGGATGACGCATTCAAGATGGGGATGCGTTACCAGGGCGGGATGCTACGCCTCTACACGCCATTCTATACGAGCGACGTGATTGTCGCGTCCCCACTGGGCCTGAAGATCATGTTGCAGGAAGATGACGAGTATGACTTCTTGTCCAGCATTGAGGTGTTTTTGGTTGACCGTTTGGATGTGCTGAAATTCCAGAACTGGCGATTTTTCCTCGACGTTTTCGAGAAGCTGAATCAGCCTCTGAAGAAGTGGCGCGATGCCGACCTCAGTCGTCTCCGCGTTTCGACCATAGACGGTCAGAGCGAGTTTTACCGTCAGACTGTGGGTGTTTCGTGCACGCAACACTTTGTGTTCAACTCCTATTTCAAGCGTTTGCTCAATCGCCGTGGTTTCATCAAGCTTTCGTGCGTTCCACGCCAGGATTTCGTGCTCCTGGGATCTCGTTTGCGCGTGCAGCAGCTCTTCATCAAAGTTGCCGCCAACAGTGTGAAGGAGGCCGACGGGGCTCTCCTGAACTACTTTCTGAAGAATATGCTAAGTAGCATACACGGGATCGAAGGCGTACTGGTGGTCCTCGGCGACTACACCCACTTTTTGAGGTTGGTAGCGTTTTCGTCGCGCTTACGTTACCCAGGGTGCAAAAGGATCTCAAGTTGGCAAACTTCGAGTACCTCCCATGTCACGAGTCAAACACAGGGAAACAGATGCTCTTTGCGCGACAGCAGTTCCAAGCAGGTAACTCTACATTTCGCTGTGTGCTACCGATTTTAGTTACCTCTGACTGTATTATCCGGTTACATAATATTGTAGCTCATGCTTCACAATTTCATATTGCACAACATGTGGTTACTCCCGTGTCTCCATTGATGTGGCCGTGTCGACCACATCTCACGGGTTGTTTCTCCAGTCATACGGCTTGCTGAATGTGCTACAGGCAAGGCGCCAGTGGTTATCACCACATCGAGATTGCTCTTCTTCAAGCGCTACGTGATCAAGGGAACAGCTCGCGTGCTCTTTGTGGTGCCACCAGACTACCCCGAGCTGTACCGCGAGGCCTTCAAGATGATGGATTTATCTAAGCGCAATTCGATTGTGACTCTCTACACGCGCTTCCACGCCAATCAGCTGGAGCCCATCGTCGGTGTCGACAAGGTCCACAAACTGGTTTCCGCCGCCGACACGAGGGTGACGGAGTTTCACTGAAGCTTAAAATCCAAACAGGAGGCAGCTTGGTGAATACAACACATGCCGCCGCGGCGGTGTAACGCTTATGAACTAAGTCTTAGTGGTGCGTACGGCTGCGCTACGGGAACTCTGTAAGGCTGTCTGTCCCCCAAAATTTTGGCAGCAACAACCGCCATAAATGCCTGGTAATCGCGAAACACACACGTCACAACCATGCTGGAAGTTGACAAGTGTGGCTAACCTGCATTACCCCTCGCGACCTGTGGCACATTGTTTCACCGCCCTTGTCTCCAGGGCTACTTTCACCGCAAAGTGCAATTTAGTGCCACACGAATTTTACATTACAAAGCACATTTATAAACGCCCATGGTACTAGGTGCTGTCTCGCTGCGGTGAAACTTCCACTGCTCCCCGTCGCTGTGGTGTTCTTAGCGGTCGGCTGTTGGCACGGGACATCACATGGCACTTGGCTTTGATTTGAGTTGTGCTTAAAAAAGAATACATTTGCTTTGCTCTCGTTATGCTGTTGTAACTCACATCTCAACTATTTACTTTGCAGGATGGCTAGCAGCGAGGAATCTTACTACTTTTGCCACGTCTGCAGCTGCACTCGTTCGGAAACTGAAATTTCACCGAGCGATAACGGCGACTTGCGCTGTCTAATCTGCAACAATGAGGGGTTCGTCGAGAAGGTTAGTCCCATGCGCGTCTTGGCAGATCCACTACTCTTGTATCGTGCCTGTGTGCTATTGCGCCCGCGGCCATAGATTGACAGTGTCATTCTGCATATGAACACAGTGTTATAGGGAGTTCTATTATAGTACGTGTTTTCGCTGTGTCTCGTGGTTCACGGTTGATATTTGTGACCGTTTGACAAGCCTCCACCACTCGAACAGTGCCTTTTAAGTGATTACTGTGACAATGTGAACGGTGTTACTGTTGACTGATGTGCTTTCACATCGTCTCATTCGATTCTTTCAAGCGGGTTTGCTTGTGTAGACCTGCACTTCTTCGGATGCAGGCATCCTGAAGTCGTTGGTCCGGCCCCGTTACCAGTTCTCAATGCTTGATGTAACGTTTATCTGACATACTCCATCTACACCACCAACTGTCTACCATTACATTTATCCGGTATTTATGTCACAAACTGTCTTAACTGTGCTTGTCCGTACTGGTCATGTTAGGTTTGTAACGTCGTTTCAGGTGTCGGCACCCCCAGATTCTCGCCGATCCTACACTTTCCACAGATTTGCTACGCCATACAGCGGCCCAAACTATACCCTGGTGAACAGATATGCGTCGGGTGGCAATACGGGCGAACCTTCGACGTTGGGGGACGCGCAGTGGTCTAACTTCGTCCGGAACTTAGTCGCGGGTGGCGTGAATTCGGCCATGCAAAACAGGACGTATACCATTCGCGGCACCATGGGCGTTAGAGGCAATGCACAAATGATGAGAGCCTCCACTGGTGAAGAGCCCTCCACCGGGGCGGCGGCCACCCCCGGCCCCACCGAGACGTTTGACGAGACGGCACAGCGCCTTTTCAGTGCCTTCATGCAGAATCCCTTTGACCCTCGAGCGATGAACGAGATTATGTACTACATGATGGAGAACGACCCCAATCGCCAGGGTCCCCCTCCCGCTGCGAAACGCGTCGTCGAGAGTCTGGAGGTTGAGACCATTGACGAAGAGACGGCGAAGCGGCTTGAGACGTGTGCCATTTGCACTGAGGACTTCGCTGCGGGTGATCGCATTCATTGGCTTTCCAACGACCGCAGTCTCTGCGGCCACGGCTTCCACGTCGACTGCATTTTGCCATGGCTCCGGCAGCACAATTCCTGCCCCGTATGCCGCTACGAACTGCCTACGGACGACGAACAGTACAACTTGCAACGTGCACAACTTCGTTCACGCCTCGTGGAGGAGGTTCAACGGCACGTTGACCCCAATTCTCAGCCGAACAGTGGACGCCAGTCCTTCTCGGAGAGCGGGCAGACCGGCAGCCCCGCGCCAGTCGAAACCGTCGCAGACAACGATTCCACCGCCTCGCCCGCCGACGCTGCGTCCACTGCCAACCCAGGGCCGTCGGCCCCTGCGGAAGCCGCCACTACAGGGACCTCCAACAACCCCAGGACCTCATCTCAGCGGCGGCAGGCCAGCGGCGGTCGCTTAATCATCGAGACCAACAACTGCCGTGTGCAATAAACACCCGTTAATATTAAATGATGTATTCGTTCCGCTGCTCTAGTAGCCTTTTGTAAAAGTCAAAAGACGGGCCGCTCCGGGAATCGAACCCGGGACCTCTCGCACCCAAAGCGAGAATCATACCACTAGACTAAGCGGCCTACCTCAAGATGCCCAAATCACGTTTCACGAATCGGCAAACACGGCACAAAACCCAAACAGTCGGCGCCAAGCTATCTCAAAGCTGTTAGGCTCAGCAGTATATGAACCACGTCAAACATTAAACACATCGTTTTCATACGATTTCGCGTCAGAGCGCCAAGCCCAAATGAAGAAGATCGGGTGTTTTTGGATCATACGCCCTTCGGGGGTATCCGCAGCAACCTAATCGTTTTCAAACCGTCCAGACAACGCTTACCGTCACACACTCGTCACGGATGAGGTTGTTGACGAGTTGGCGATATAGGTAGTTTAGATTGCCACCGTACGGATGTGTCTGCGTACGTTCGAGTGTCAAAAACCGTTCACACACCCGTGATAGCAGTCTGCGGAATCTGCCGAGGTACCTAAAAATGGTGGCAAATGAACATTGTGGCATACCAGTCAATAATTTTATTTTCGGCGCACGTTTGGTCGATGCACTGATGCATGAGGTACCTGCCGACGTGGTAGGCGAAATGCACATACGCGTTATAGTCAATACTATAGGTGTACGAAAAACTCAGGGTGTCCATTCTCGTAAACCACATCTACGTCTGAGGGTTAGTCCACACAGGTTTCGCCCTGCTGAATGACCATTGTCGGGTAAAAAAATACCTCGAAACCTAGCACGCCCGTTTAGCAACGGGCTGCTCCGGGAATCGAACCCGGGACCTCTCGCACCCGAAGCGAGAATCATACCACTAGACCAAGCAGCCTTGTTTTACGGTCCCCAATGTTGTATTAGGATCGACACACATGCTTTGGTGCCCATTTTAATGGGTCGAATTTTTTGTATGAGGTCACCCTACAAGAGACCTACTATTATGCGACTGCTCCAATGATATGTAGTGGAGAATAATTTCACATATGTTTAAAGTATACGTGTACTTGGCATCTAAATATTATGTCTTCAAGAGACTGTATTGCATGGCTCTATTGTTTCTCATTGCTAATGCCATGGCGGTATACCTGTAGGGTACTACCGTTTCTTCAACGACTGCTTGTCCAGCGCCCGTCGTTAATGGGCGGCGTCTGCGTCGGGCGGGGTTATGCCGTGTTTGTTGAGTATGCGTGCGAATTCGTCGACTGTGAAGCCGTCTCCTGCGGTGTTTGAGTGGCGTTGGTTGGCGGCTCACCCCCTAGCTCGTCGAGTCCGACGATGCTGTGGTTGGTCTTGCCGTCGACGATGATCATGATCTGCCGAGTTGTGTGACGTTGTTGCATTGAGCGTACGGTTGGTATGCACCAGATGTTGAAGCGTTCACAGAGGAAGGGCGTGCGCTCGGCGTTGACCCTGATGAACTTGGTGGTGAAGTAGGTCTGGCGGAGCTCGTGCATCTTGCCGTCAACGTATTGGCACCTCGTAGTGGTGGGCCTGTAGAAGTGCGCAACCTGCGCGCAGCGTTAGATCCAGCAACGACCCGTGACAGGCACGTAGCACCAACGACCGCGCGTTGCGTGGGCAGAGTTGACCATGTTGGCACTAGTAGCAACGGCAGGCGAACTCTAGCCTAGAATGACTCACCACGTACTGCGTGTTTCTGCAGACGTCGAAGAAATGCGCGTCCGAGTCTACGTCGACGAGTCTGCCGAAGCCGTTGTTCAGGAACTCGAGTCTCTTGACATGCATCTGCTTGAGCTTTTGCAGCCTGGACTCGCGGAAGCGCTCCAGAGTGTCATCGTCGTGTAGGTGCGATATCTTTGTTTCTACCTGCCGTAGTTGGTGGAGTTCCACTTCGACCTCACGCTCCTTCTCCAGCAAAGCGGAGAGGACGTTGTCGTGGACTTGTCTCACCAACGCTGCTTTCCTCTGTAGGCCCGTCATCTCGCTCCGTTAGCCTTGCTCTTGTTTCAGTTGCGAGCATTCGCCGTCTCAGCGAGTTTCAAGCAGGGAGACTGCACCTTACTTGCGATGTTGCATAAGGCACATGGGTATACCGTCGTCGTCCAGACAATAAATGTGATACGGCAGTGTAAGCAGCGCTTCGTGCTTAGGTCCCGCAGCCATCCAACTCGTCGGCGTCTCACGGCAGTACATGGGCGCGTGGTCTGCGTCCAGTACGCTGCGTGGCTTGACGTGGCGCGGCAGCCGGCGTTGATGTACGCCTCGCGGCGTCGTTCCTTTGACGTGAATGCAATCAACTAATACGCTCCCCATATATCGCTTTGCTCGTGGTGTGCAGCATTGCGACCTGTTTTCGAGGCAGGTGTGTGAAAGGCGCCAGTTGCAGCGTATCTGCTCCGAGTCATACGACTTCCTTCCCTAGACATTCAGATACACACAGGACGCTGTAAATCGCGACTTGACTGCTTACAAGCGTGCCTTCGTGCGACTCTGCGTGTTCTGTGAGCCACCCCGCAGCTCTTCTCCGTGTCTACTTGGTATCGATGGAGGTTGAGCGCGTGTCCTCGGAGTCGGAAGGGTCTTCCACGACCGAAGAGATGGCCCGCCTGCTTCTCGCTGGCTGGACCATGCTGTCGGAGACTTGCAGTGTGGTAGGCACATCACTTGATTGCATGTCACCACCATCAGTGCCGAGACGTTCCTCTAATGCGCAGCCGTGAGGGCGTTTTGAAGTGCTGCCGCTGCGGCAAGGAGTCTCGCCCTGCTGCTAGCGGCCCTGTTGGAGGTATGATTAGTTGATCTGAGGTGTTGTGTCACCGTGGAACAGACTGCACGAGTACCATCGGCCCCGGCAAGTACCGCATCGTCGAGGAGGGCAGCCTTGACTCCAGTCTGGTGACAGGCATTCACGGCGAGGCTGGCGAGCGGCCACTGTACAAGGGCCCCGTCGTCTCTTCGCCGACTGCTTCCCCCACCTGTGCGTCGCACGTCCCTCAGCGTGCTCCCGCTTCCCTCGACGGCCGGCGGCTGCAGCAGCTGTGCTTGCTGCGCGTCGAGCTGAGCAAGGCGCTTGACCGGTAGGCACCCTCGCATGTCACCGTGACTCGTCTCAGGTACACGATGCTGCTGCACGCGGGCAACGAGCGCATGGAGTCCGACGTCGCTGGGTACGTGGGCCTTTGCGTGCTGGCACATTACGTTCAGCGAGGTGACGGTGTTGGAGCTCGTGGAGCGCACGGTGCGCCTGCTGGGCACGGTGGACTCGCTGATATAACCACGGCCGCTGCCGCTGCCGCGCGCTTACCAGAAGCCCCTACGCAGCCACGTCCGTTTGGTCTGCGTTGCGCAGCTGCCCATCGCACACGCACCCGTTCACCTCCTCACTCATCGCCGATCGCGCAGATATCGTCGTAACTGCCTCCCGACTTGAGTATTCGGTGGGCGCGCCGGAGCTCCCTCACCACGCGGTTACGCTGGTGGAAGGAAATGTTAGCCACGTCCACACCCATCTCGAAGAGGTTGTGACTTTTAAATTATTTAAAGGTGCATAGTACACTTATGGGCTCACACATTCTAATACTTCACTATGTATTACTTGTATTTTGCCGAGGTATGTCAGTGCCGACCACTTTTCTGTGGTTGAACTGATTGCAGTGGAACTATAATAGATAGCGTATAAACCGAATATTCATCATATTATAATTTTTTGGTTATTCAGTATTTTGTTTTTACCCATGGTCGTGGAAGGCTTTTCAACAACCCACCACCTTTGAAACGCTGACAATATTAATATCTTGCTTAATTTGACTCTGCATTTGCTTAGTAATAATCGCAAAATGACTTTCCGGGATGTGTGTTGCGGATGCGGTGTGGATACGGCAAGCACCCTGGCCTGCCCCGTCTGCAGATCGAAGGGGCATATACAGATATTTTGCTCTCAAGAGTGCTTTAATGCAACATGGATTATTCACAACGCTACACATACCGTAAGTTCACGTTAAATCATGTTTGTATAGAACTTGTTGTCGATGGCGATTCAGTGTCATTCTTGTACAAAGCGATCGATTAATGCTCGCAATCTTCATCGATCTTAGCATGTTTGCAATCTTCGCACTGCCTATTGTGTTACATTGCAACTGTTGCTTATCTCGTTGCAGATAGATTACCCGGTATTATCGGTTGCCAACCCGACGTGGAATTGCGGCAATGACCCGCATCTGAGGTAGGTCGCCGAGGTCCCAGGTATAAACTCCGTCAGGCGGTTCCGAAACTTTAAATTTACGGGAGAGCTGCGTCCGTGGCCGATAACACGCCAGAAACGCGTGCCTCCGCACATCCTTTGTCCTGACTACGCAGAGGATGGGTACCCGAGGTCGGAGGCTGACATCAAGCGTTCCGCAACCATACACGAAAATACTCCGGAACAGATCAAAGTAAGTTAACTTTTGGCAAGCCTGGAGTTGGTTTATTTCTTCGTGGCACTCACTGCGCGTATTCACGTCTTTGGGGATGTATGCAACTCATGACTCTGCAGTTGATACGGAAGGCATGCATTTTGGGAAGGAAGGCACTGGACTACGCGGCTAGCCTGATTGCGCCTGGAGTGACTACCGATGAAATCGATACAAAAGTCCATGATTTCATAATTCAACACCAAGGCTACCCCTCACCCTTGAACTACCACGGTTTCCCAAAGTCACTCTGCACGTACGTTCATACAGGAGCAGCGTACTGTGTCCTACTTACCTATATACATTCCTTGTTACACTATGATTTCCTATGTTATTTGTTTGAAATATGCTCCTTATACCCGACTCAGGTCCATCAACGAAGTTGTCTGCCATGGTATACCGGACACAAGGTAGGCACTCCATTCTCAAGTTTATTCACATTTCTACGCCTGTTATGTGCAGCAAGTAATGCGGTCATCCGAATCGGTGGAATGCATTGGTTTCATCGGTTCCTTACGGCTTCACCCACCGCTTCTCATGCTCCTGCCCTGACCTTCCCTATTTATGTTCAGGCCTCTGAAGGATGGTGACATCATCAACATCGACGTTTCTGTCTACCTCAATGGCGTGCACAGCGACTTGAACGAGACCTACTTTGTAGGAGAGGTGGACGAGGATTCGAGACGCCTGGTTACGGGTACCTACGTGGCCCTCATGGAAACAATCAAGCTTTGCAAGCCTGGGATGTACTATCGCGATATAGGCAACGTGATAAACCACTTCGCGGATGAGTACAAGTACGTTTGGCGCCATGCGTTTTAAGGTTACATTGCTGCGTGGCATGTCAATGCTACTGGGCACGTATTCAAGGTATAGTAGTCCCCTCTCAACGCTTTCGTAGGCTATCCGTTGTACGCACGTACTGCGGCCACGGTGTCGGTGTGGACTTCCACTCGCTACCAAACGTCCCACATTATCGCAAGAACAAAGCGATTGGCATCATGAGACCCGGTCACGTTTTCACCATCGAGCCCATGCTCAATCTCGGTCAGTAGTCCTTGTGGGACGACTCAACTCGCTCAGGCACTTGGAAGGACATCAGGTGGCCAGATGACTGGACCGCGGTGACGTTCGATGGGAAGCGGTCGGCACAGTTTGAGCACACCCTGCTGGTGACAACCACGGGTAGGTTTGAGCCGTGTGTGCGCTCCTCATTTTGGCGCAGGTGTTGAAATCCTGACGAAACGCTTGCCGACTTCCCCGCCGCTGCAGTTCGATGTGTAACAGTGGCAACATTCAAACTCTTCGATTTCGTTCCAGACGCTATTGTCGCCTCGCGCCAAATGCCGATGCCCAAAACATTGCGGTGGCATGATTATTCTATTGTGCACACATCTCAGTTGTGTGGAGACCTATTACCG